AAGTTTACACATAAAACACATGGAAATAATGAAATGCAAAATATTAACAAATTTAATTTATTAAAAGAAAACTAAAACAAAATCTAAATATGTTCACTCCCTGTCACTTTAACACTCCCTACTTGACCTGAATGGCAAATGAGACTATTTCTATACATAACCATAGCAACTATACCTTGGGCGACCAGCTCTAGATGTTGGGCTGGTCTCGGGGAGAGGTAAGATGTTTGACCTCTTATCCCAGCTGCTCCCGTTTCCACACTGATCTGTCCTCGTCTGATCTAGCCCAGACTAGAACATTGTATTGTTCCGCATCGCTTACCCAGTTACTTTAGCAAGGTTAAGTTATAACAATTAACCTGTTGTACTTAATTGATCCAGACTGGTTGAATTATTTACCGAAATTAAATTACACAAACATCTACGGCAGAGCTGTTCCCGATCCCCCAAAAATGGTTAATTGAACTTTGAGAAATAGTAGACCTGTCAACCCTGCTGACCTATGACCGCCGGTCACTCCGCCTTACAAGTTAGATCTGATTCGTGACGTCACTGATGGTGACTTAAACTCAATAATTAGAATACTCTTGATATTGTATCCAGTACTATTATACAATACAATTTTAATGCAAAATGAATAAAGGCTAATTTTCTCTAAATTACTGAATACTATAGGATGATTCATTATACGCAGCTATGAACAAAGCGTCGGTTATTTCCACCGCGAATTCCCCTGGGGGTCAGGTCACCATGCGGGCTCAGCTTCCCATTCTCTTTTGTCGATAAACCACTCTGGATAATTCTTACAACAGCCTAGTTTGTTACAATGCCAACTGGTCTGAAAGGTCTAATAACTGGGCATTCAGTGATGTAGTGCGGGAGATCATGCCGTAGTTCCTGCTCACAGAGTTTGCAACTGGAGTGCTCAGGATTGGGAGACCCGTCACCTGCAGCCACCTGCCACAGGTAACGGTAACCCAACCTGATCCTTGCAACCACTGTGTCGCACAGTCTAGTGGACGTTTCGTGCTGTCCATAAATGTAGGTTTCAGATCTGAACAAATCATAGCTTTTTATACTAGTACCTTCAGGTCGTTGGGAGTCAGTAAGTTCTTTCCTATCAGATCTGAATGTTTGGACCAATACAGTTTTGACAGCAGAGATGGGGATACCTAGATCTAATTCAACTTCAAACCTTCAAACTTGTTACACGCTAATTTGGCTGCAATGTCTGTCTCATTATGATGGGTTATATTTATGTGTGAAGGTATCCATACAAAGGAGATTCGAGACCCTTTACTCTGTGCATCAATTAGGTCATTTATAATTGGGAAGAACAGGTGGCGATAACAGCCACGAAGTCTATGGACAATCAAACCCACATTTCATATATCATGGAAGTCGCTGGAATTAGGAATATTATCCGATCCTTCTTTAAATTAAAGAGGGGAATGGTGGTCGACTCGATATGGGGACCTGATGGATGAGTGGACAGCACTCGGGATTCGTAGTTCTAAGGCTCTGGGTTCGATCCCCGGTGGATGCGGAAACAAATGGACAGAGTTTCTTTCACCCTGATGTTCCTGTTCATCTAGCAGTAAATAAGTACCTGGGAGTTAGACAGCTACTTCCTGGGGATGTGTAACAAAATGGAGGCCTGGTCGAGGACCGGGCCGCGGGAACACTAAGCCCTGAAATCATCGCAAGATAACTGACTCCATCAACCCATGACTCTCGGCTTATGCCAGCGCCTGAGGAGTGTTATGGATGCTATGGCAGTGAGCACATAGCTAAGCACTGCTGGTGCGCACCCAAGTGTGCTCTCTGTTCCGGTCCTCATGCACTGAAGGACTATCTATATAAGACAAGAGCAAAGAAAGCTGAACCAGGAACACCAGAGCAACAGAAACAGGGCAACAACCTGAAACTGTGCCTCCATCTAAACCGCCGCTGAAGGGTATTCAGATGTGGTAAAGAAGGAGAAACCATTTGCCACCCAGACTGTACCAAACGACAAGCCTCCCTTGGCACAAGGAGGCAAGACCAGCAACGCCCCAGACAACACACAACATACTGATGCCAGCTCTAGTACTGGTGACCTATCCCATAGTGGTGACAGTGCCAGCAACGCCTCTGACAACACATAACAGGTTGAGACAGCATTTGAAGGCAAGTTGCAAGCACACGTAGCAGAAATGGTAAAAACCATACAGGCGCTACGTCGGGCTTCTTCACAAGAGATACAACAGCCTCCACACAGCTGTGGCTCACGCTGGTAAAGGAACCTGTGGTGGTGGCAGCGGCGGCGGTGGCAGTGGTGGCGGCAGTGGCAGCGGCGGCGGCAGTGGCAGCGGCGGCGGCAACGGCATGGAGGCGGCAACGGCATGGAGGCGGCAGTGGCATGGAGGCGGCAGTGACAGCGGCGGCGGCGGCAGTGGCGGCGGCGGCAGTGGCAGTGGAGGCGGCAGTGACAGCGGTGGCGGGAATGACAGTGGCGGCGGAGGCAGCGGCGGAGGCAGTGGCAGTGGCAGTGGAGGCGGCAGAGAAGAGAGCGATGACGGAGACTGTATTGACGTCGTCGTCAGTCAGCTTAGTGATGCCAACAGTGATAGTGACACAGAAATAGTAACTGGAAAAGGAAGTCGACCCAAACCAGCATATATTGAAGGTGACACGGAATGCATTCAAGTCAAATACCAGAGTGAAAATGAAAATCCACTGTCTGACAGTACCTATGCCATGAAAATTGCAGAGAACATTCACTCACAGATCATTCCGAGTTCTTGAGTGATCAGAGAATGATGACATCACCAGGCGTTATTGAAGAAATCAGACACCAGATTGGTGCGGCTATTTGTGTCGTACAGTCACTTATTAACACATTGTGGAAGTGGGAGAAGCACAACAATGGGATCAACAGTCTCACGGAGGAACAACACCACCACAATGACCGCTGCTGACACATGGAATATTAGGTTTCTCCATTGGAACATTCGTAGCATTAAGAGAAGACTGAATGACCTAATTACACATGTTACCAGCAACGAAATATAATTGCTATTTAGGAGCCCTACACGTCTAACATGAAAACAAGACCCCACCAAAGATCAGGGGGTATGTATGCTATACAAACAGTAACGCTACAGACCTACTAACATACATTATTAATAATTCACCGCATGCTCTTGTGAGAACGTACGTCACACAATATCATCTGCCCGAAACGCTATGAGCGTTAGTGGCTTTACTTGAGTGTAAAAATAATCTCTTAATGTAATCTCACCAACCCTTTGTACCTTCTTGCAAATAATTTATTATTATTATTATTATTAATATTTATGTATACACAGAGTACCATCACTTCCATGTACAAACTGCAGCAGGCCTGGTTGATACCTGGTTGAATGGGTTCTGGGAGTTCTTCTACTCCCCAAGCCCGGCCCGAGGCCAGGCTTGACTTGTGAGAGTTTGGTCCACTAGACTGTTGCTTGGAGCGGCCCGCAGGCCCACATACTCACCACACCCCGGTTGGTCCGGCACTCCTTGGAGGAATAAATCTAGTTTCCTCTTGAAGATGTCCACGGTTGTTCCGGCAATATTTCTTATGCTTGCTGGGAGGGTGTTGAACAACCGTGGACCTCTGATGTTTATACAGTGTTCTCTGATTGTGCCTATGGCACCTCTGCTCTTCACTGGTTCTATTCTGCATTTTCTTCCATGTCGTTCACTCCAGAACGTTGTTTTTTTACTGTGTAGATTTGGTACTTGGCCTTCCAGTATCTTCCAGGTGTATATTATTTGATATCTCTCTCGTCTTCTTTCTAGTGAGTACATTTGGAGGGCTTTGAGACGATCCCAATAATTTAGGTGCTTTATCGAGTCCATGCGTGCCGTATATGTTCTCTGTATTCCCTCTATTTCAGCAATCTCTCCTGCTCTGAAGGGGGAAGTGAGTACTGAGCAGTACTCAAGACGGGACAACACAAGTGACTTGAAGAGTATAACCATTGTGATGGGATCCCTGGATTTGAAAGTTCTCGTAACCCATCCTATAATTTTTCTGGCTGTCGCAATATTTGCTTGGTTATGCTCCCTAAACATTAGGTCGTCAGACATCATTATTCCCAAATCCTTTACATGCTTTTTTCCTACTATGGGTACAGTTGATTGTGTTTTATACCCTGTATTATGTTTAAGGTCCTCATTTTTACCGTACCTGAGTACCTGGAATTTATCACTGTTAAACATCATGTTATTTTCTGATGCCCAGTCGAAAACTTTATTAATATCAGCTTGAAGTTTTTCAATGTCTTCAGCCGAGGTAATTTTCATACTGATTTTTGTGTCATCTGCAAACGATGATACGAAGCTGTGACTTGTAATTTTGTCTATATTTGATATGAGAATAAGGAAAAGCAGCGGTGCAAGGACTGTACCCTGAGGTGCAGAGCTTTTAACTGCACTTGGACTAGATTTTATATGGTTGACCGTTACTCGCTGAGTCCTGTTTGACAGAAAACTGAGTATCCAGCGTCCTACTTTACCGGTTATTCCCATTGACTTCATTTTGTGTGCTATCACGCCATGGTCACATTTATCGAAAGCCTTTGCGAAGTCCGTGTATATCACATCAGCATTCTGTTCTTCCTCTAATGCCTCAGTGACTTTGTCGTAGTGCTCAAGTAGTCACTTCTCATTCGTCAACGTATATGCCAGAAATCAGAAATTTAATGTAACATTGCTCCCAGAACTAGACAGTCATGGGACAATATACATGGGAGATTTTAATGCAGGACGTTGGGAAACAATACTAACAACGAAAATGGATTGAAATTTATCAAATAAATTTATTACAACAGATTAACTGCGTATACTCTGGATACCCAAACTCATTTATTGGGAGGCAGACTTGATTTTGCAATGGGTAGAAACCTTGTGCTAGATAATATAGAATGCTCGTTGGTAAATCACTTGGATAGCGATCACTATGTATTTTCTGCTTCCTATAATATACAGTGTGATGTACTTAATAAACATCAGAGACGAAAAATTAATATTCCATATGCTTTACATAACCACTTTATTAACTGTTTTTCAAAATGGTATCAAGATTATACATTAATGAATGTACAGATCTTCTCCAGAGACTTCGTCGATACAATTACTACCTACTACAACACATGGGTGTGTTGGGGAACAATCCGTAAGCCTAGCAGAGGTGGCCAACACCTACGACCACCCTTGTGGGTCCTTGACCTGATATTTGTTAAAGAACATGAACGTGTAAAGCAACTTGGAGAAACAAGCAAACGAACCAAAGCACAAGGTGACATGCATGCATTTCTTGTCGCAATTAGAGAGGTGAGAGACATTTGCAACGTTATTCGTAATAAACATTTGTAAGAGTTCCTACAAAGTTTAAACGAGCAAACATCACTTGTTGAAGTTTGGGAAAAGATACGAAAAATATCCTGAAGCAGCCCACCATACTACTGCACCACAGCCCACTAAAACATGCAAACATCCTCATTGACCACTGGGCACTAGCATCAAACTACAACTCACTCCCAATTAACATACAGAACAAACTTAATGACACACGCCCAAACAGACAACAAACCATCAATCTTGCCTGTACATCCATTGACGTGTTGGATCTTAATGATGTAATTGAATGGGAAATAAATCATGCACTAAAGATGGGCAAATCAACTGCTCCTGGAGAGGACGGTATTACTTAAAATTTACTGAGATTAGTCACAAGTACCAGGTAATCCACTTTTAGTGTTGTACAGAATGAGTTTAAGTGAAGGAGTATTACCTGATGATTGGACAAAGAGTGTCATTGTTCCCATCCCCAAATCACTTTCAGATAATTATAGACCCAAATCTCTAACATCGTGTGTTTGTAAAGGGCTTGAACGCATTGTCCCTAACCGACTCTTGTATCGTATACAGGGGCACCTGTCGCCCCCAACTGTTTGGATTTATGCCTGGGCTCAGTACACAACACTGTTTTGCTGAGTACTTCGCACATATTGAAGCTTCCCCCCCAAACAGTCTTCATCGACCTAGCAGCAGCTTTTAACACAGCAAACAGGGAAATCATACTAGAACAGCTTGCTGAGCTAGATAAAGAGCTATTTGTGTAATCGTACACCATGTTTTGCTTAATAGTGTTAAGAACACAGAGAGTAATCACTTTGAACTGGGAACTTCACAAGAAAAGACCTCAGCTCTTTGTTATTCAACGTTCTAATGCATAAACTTAATAAAGATCTAATAACGAAGACGCGGTCATTTGTTATGCTGATGATATATGTTTACAGGCTGCCTACGAATCTAGAATGCAAGTTCTGTTCGATGGTTTTGCTACTAGAGCTAATGAATATGGCCTCCTTATCTCTGTACAGAAAACTCGTTCCCTCATTCCATGTAGTATTCCACAACCCAATTATCATAGAGATGGGCGAGCATTTGAGAACTGCGAGTCTTACAGACCCCTTGGAGTCCCCATTAATGACCCTGGGTACCTTTCTTCTCTCAAGAGGAGACTCAGGGAGAGATTAAAGCCCTTACGGGTCCTTGTTTGTGTCGATCATGCAATGAACGTGAGACTTGCTAGAATGAACAAATCCACAAGGGCCGTCACGAGGATTCGAACCTACGTCCGAGAGCATCCCAGACGCTGCCTTAATCGACTGAGCTATGACATGGAATAAGAATTGCAACCAGAAATTCTACTGAATTTACTTGGATCCTGCAGCCTCTCCGAGACACAAACCAGGTGTAATGAAGTAAGGGCGAAGAGGTAGAATGGCCTAGTGACATAGCTCGAGTGCATGGGGGGGGGAGAATTGTGTAAAATCCTGGTTTGTGTCTCGGAGAGGCTACAGGATCCAAGTAAATTCAGTAGAATTTCTGGTTACAATTCTTATTCCATGTCGTAGCTCAGTCGATTAAGGCAGCATCTGGGATGCTCTCGGACGTAGGTTCGAATCCTCATCATGGCCCTTGTGTTCATTTGATACATCACGCTATTGTGATTTCTGTTTGTGACTTGCTAGAATGTTTTATGTATCATTTATACGTTCTGTGATTGACTACAATGCCCTACATCTCACACTGTATACAGATAAAGAGCTAAAATCCCTTGAAACGTTGCAAAATAAAGCTATGCATCTCATCCTTGGGGATCCAAATTCCGCGAGAATATTTAATATGAGAGCAGAGTTAAAATTACCTACCATAAGTGAGAGAATTTTATCCATTAGCACAGTATTCGGCGTGAAGGCACTGAGTAGATCTCAGCAACACATGACGTTTCAACCTAAACTTTCTAACATGGTACACTCACTTGAGGTGTATAGAAGAAGAGCGAAATCTGATTATGCATTTTGGTTCTACAAGGTAGCCAACTCCATCAAAATATTAAATACGAACACAACTCAATTAATGATTAATCAACCAATTAATCCATGGGATAACTGGGATCTATCAATTGGATTTGTAAATGCATCCAAGAAAGATAGTTTACACTCTACATTATTAAAACTACACTGAAAAACATCACTGAGAGTATTCAGGTTATGGGTAACGATGTGTATCAATGTTATACAGACGGCTCTGTAGAAGAAGGCGGAAGATGTAACGGATGTGCATGTAATATATTTAAACAATTTTATCTCTTACATATAACAATGAAGCGCGTCAATGATTGGACAAATACAACTCAAATAAAACTTGCAGGCATATATCGTGCCACTGAATTTTTAAGACAATGGCAG